TCAACTTTATTCAGATGCCCAGCCAGTATGATGAGTAAGAAAGCCACATCTCTTCCAGAGACATAATTCTTATTCTGTCAATACGGGGAGCTTTGTAACAAAATGCCAAGATTTGAATCATAAAACTATTTAGCTTCCATATTTCTATGGAGACACAAAAGTTTATCTGATAATTACATTTATTTTCCTTTCCCAAAATGGTACAAAAAATCATTCACAGTTTCAGCCTCTATGTTTCTTTTCTGGAGATTTTTTTTTTTAAACGACTGCACTCTGCTGTTAGTTAAACCAGGGCAGTTTAAACCCATGCACTCAAAGCTGTTAGTTAGGAAGGCAGTGTTCTGTGTTATGAGAAAATAAAGATGATACAGATAAAGTTTGCTCTTCATTTTGATCTTTTCTGAGCTTTCACTGTAACACTTTGTTCCAGGAGTAAGTTTATATAGCTCCAGAAACTTCCATACTTTATGTCGTTTCTGTTAATATGAGGAATGGTATTAAAGACAATTAATTTTAAACTGGGCATGGTGGCACACATCTGTAATCCCAGCACTTGGAAAGCAGAGGTAGGATGATCAGAAGTTTGAGATCCTTGTGTTGGTATGAATAAGAAAAGCCCCCATAGGCTCATATATTTTAATGTTTGGCCCCTAATTGGTGGATTGTTCAGGAAAAAAATGAGATGTGGCCTTTTTAGAAGAGGAGGTGGGCTTTGACGTTTAAAATTTTATTCCAGGCCCAGTCTCGCTCTGCCTCTAAGTTGTAGATGTGGTATATGCTTTTCCAGCACCACGCCTGCTTGTCTGCTGCTGTGTTCTACACCAGAATGGTCATGGACTGACCCTCTGAAGCTGTAAAGGAGCCCCTAATTAATGCTTTTTTTTATGAGTCGCCTTGGTCATGGTGTCTCTTCATGTCAATAAAATTGTAACAGAGACAGTTATCCTCCTGTAGTTTAGTTTAGGGCATTTGTAGCCATGCTGGGCTACATATAACCTTGTTTAAAAACACAAGAAAAATATGGGCATGGCACTGGTGTACTCCTTCAATCCCAGCACTTGGGATGCAGAAGGCAGAGGATATCAGTGAGTTCTAGGACAGCCTGGTCTACATAGCAAGTTTCAGGACAGCCAGAACTACGTAGACAGACACTGTCTCAAGGAAAAAAAAAAAAAGATGATTAGTTCTGTTTTTTAACTATGAAATCCTTATGCAAGAAATCAAAAAGAAAATGTAATAGAATGTAGCTGAATAAAAGAATACATAATTTTATTTATTCATTCAAAAATGTATTGAAAGCACTATGTTTGGGGTGTGGTTTTATATAGTGGTAATATAGACATCCACGAACAAATATTAATAGCTTACACCCCAGGGTGAGGGAATGGGCAATAAAGAACACATTGGCTTGTTTAAAATAGTATCACAACCGGGGTGAAAATGCCAAGGAGAAAGAGCAAGAGGGAAAATGGGTCGTGTTGGTGGGAGACGATAGTGGTCTTCTATGGCTGTTGTGGCTCTGTCTTCTGGGAGGACGTGCAGCATGGACGCTTGGATCCTGCCCATTGTTGCCTATCATGGTGACGAGATACCCTCCTATGTCATTACTATGGTGATGGCACTTGACGAATGCTGAGCCAACGGGTGGATAAAGGCACTCTTCCACGAGTTCCACCTGGGCTCTATGCTACTATAGGTTATATAATATATATACTATTATAATCTATGAGACTCCTTTTTCATTTATATGAATTCTCTCTTCAGCACCTAACTCGCTTTAATGTTTATTTTTATTGAGGACCAGCTTCGCTTGGCTAGAAAGAAACCTGCAGAAGACTAAAACATAGTAAAAACAGTTAAATGAACGACTTCTCTGATGTGTTTTCCCTTTGAGAAACAAAAGAGCTCCTGGTTTATCTTGTGTGGATTTGTTTGCTGGGTTAGGCAACTTCTTCCTGTCAACTACTGCAAATTCACAATTTGCATGCTTGTGAGTATTATAAATAAAAAGGAGCTGATCCTAAAGGCAAATTCCTTGGCAAATCAAAATTTAAATATATTAACTATGTAATTATTCAACTTTCAGTGGCACAGATTTTCTGTTAAGATTTTTAATGGGGGGAGGTTGATCAAGGAAATGATAATATTCATCAGTTTTTAGAGAAGTGAGAAAAAGGCATATAAACACAGAAGAAAGGAGGTTTTTTTTTTCAGTAGACTAGACAGATAAGAGCTAGGTGGTTTCATAGACTGTGAGCAGACCTTGTACACACCTGTTTTGTTATTGCTATTGTTTTTTTGTTTTTAATTTGAACAAACCATTTTTTTAATCTCTATTCTCATCTTGCCCCAATTGCCATCTCCACAAATATTTTCTGACAAAGCCAGTGGGGGCTTCTCTGGTCATTCTCATTAAAGAATCAGAAGTCCCATGTGACACAGTTTACACTTGAGAGAGCCTTAAGCTACAGTGAAATGCATCCTGATGGGGTCCAGCGCTGGAGTAGGTTAGAGAGAGCCTTGCTAAGTGTTTCCCTTCAGGATGGTTTGGGAATGCACAGTGATTTGTGAGAGCATTTGGGAAACGTTTTTCTTCATTATTTCAGTTTCTAAAGAGTGAGACACTGCAACTCTTCTTTATCAGCTTACCCAGGACCAGGAGCAATGGGCATCTATTCTCCTTAATAAAATATGATCACAGAAGCAAGACAGAGATTTATTGAAGAAAGGGTTCTGTGGGAATGGGAAGGGATAAGAGAGGACAATGACAGGGTGATCATAATCCATTGTTTACATGTACAAAACTGACAAATAATAATAAAAAATATTTTCAAAATAGCAACGGATAATTCTAGAGCCATTTCCTTGCAGAAGATCTTTGGCTTGTATGCAGTATTAAGAATTTACAGTTATTTATAGAGAACCAAAGGTAGTACTTTCTGTACTCTGGTGTGGGTTAAAATTCACAATCTTAATTACCTCCTTGATGCTTTTTTCCCCCACTTTGCCTTACTGGGAACATATAGAAGAGTACATCATAAGATTTTATGCCTATAATAGCAATTTTACAGTTTGCCAGAATCCTAGCTCAATATAATGAATTATAAAGAAGTTTTATGGGAAAAGGCTGTGTAGAGGTTTCCATCCTTTGTAGTTATAATACCAAGTAGGCTTTGAAAAAGTCTACATTAAAATGATACCTTTAATTTTTTTTATTTTTTTCTCCCAGAGTTTACGTAGCCCTGTCTGGACTGAAAATGGCTATACAGACTAGGCAGGATTTGAACTCATGGAGATCCATCTTCCTCTGCTTCCCAAGAGCTGGGATTAAAGGTGATGTGCACCATCATGGCTGGACCAACCAAGCATTTCTTAAACCTATTTTTCTTCTAAGCTATGTTTTAGCTCAGTTAAAATATAACAGAACCTTATATTATCTATTAAGTCACAGCACCATTTTACATTCCACCAAGAAAGGCGTGTATTGACAATGTCCCCTTAATAAGAAACCTCAGTAAATGCTATGTAGCAAAATGGAACATTAGTTTTCTTAGAAACAATATAATAAAATTAAGCATTTTAAACTCATCTTGCCCATCCTAGTGTAGTGTCAGGGCTAGGTTATAGATGCTCCCACGGGTTTGCAGAATTAGGAAGGGCAGCCTGTGCTTTCTCATATTTGCGTGGTAAATGGCGTAGGCCCCACCCATCTCCTCCATCACCTCTTGTCTTACCAGGATTCCTAGTTCACAGGCCACAGGCCCTGCCCTCTGTGGCTCTTCAAGTGTGCTTCATGGGCTCAGCAATAAGAGAGGGCATGCCACAGAAATCTCCAGGATCTCCTGCTTCATCGCCTCAGGATTAGCTTCCTTACAGACAATCGTTCTTTAATCTCTCACACTCCATGGTAACCTTTTAACTAGGCTTCAGATGATGTGTCTTCCATTTCTGTTTTTCCCTATCCTGTACTACGTGTAAGCATAGCATCATTATAAACATTTTTTTATCAATAACAGAACATTGTTCTCAATGTAGTAGCCATGTGGGGAGAGAAATCTCTTCACTTACAAAATCTTTATTATTGTGTTAGTACATTACCCTTCAAGTCCCCATTTGCAAAGAGTTTTGCCTGTTTGCCAGGAAAGCTGGTCTACACCATTTCAAGGCCATACTGGGAAAACTAAAACGACTAAAAAGATTTTTATTTGTCAAAATGAATAATATGATTGTTTCTGGTAGTCTAAAAACTAAATCAGAAAAAGCCACACTAGTGCCATAAAATAAATCACTTTAATAATTAATATACATAAATAGTTTGTTGGCAACAAGAAAGTCAAATCAACTCTGAATAGCAACACATTTACAAAATTTAAAAAATAGATTCATCTTCTTACATTCAAATAATGGTTAAAAAAATGACAACTGCAATTTTTTTCTGAATGAGTTCTTTTATATTTTTACTTGATATTACAGTAATTTATGGCATTACAGTGTAACATTCTTACGTAGAAACTAAAAATAAAAGAATTAAAATCACCTGTGTAACGTTTTTTGAAAAATAAATTAGGCACTTTACATTGAAATGTTTTATTCTATCGAAGTGTCTGGGACGGAGATGCATTCGTTTCTGCCAACGCTCAGGCGTTATCTGACCTTCCTTTAAACAGGATGAGATGAGGTGCAAGCTGGCCACGAGAGAGAAGCAGCTTTTCCCCCCACCCTTAGAGAAGAGACAACCGCAACACGAAATAGAATTATCTTAAAAGCCCAAGTTGCGTATGAAACTTTCACTTCGAAACATTGTTTTTTTGGGCCTTTGAGGGGACGCAAACTTCGCATCAAAAGTCGTTGTGTTAATCTTGTTACCCTGTAATTTCCACAGGTTGTCACAGTTCCTTTCACAACTGAAGGGATTCAAAGCATTCTGGTTGATCAACTGTTTGAACAACATTCTGTTTGTTACACAGACTCCAGAGAGACAAATACTGCATTCCCCTCCTTGTGTGGCCTGCAGAAGCACCGCCTTTGGCACCCACGAAGGTGGTTTTGTCCACATGGCAGCCAGGTGTCAGAAGCCTCTAGCAGAGAGCGAGTTCGTGAAAACAAGCCCGAGGCGGCTGGCCGTTGTATTTCTGAGCCAAATTCTCTCGATTACCTAGGAACAGGGCAGTTCAAGTTTAACCCGCGGCAGAAAGTCCTGCCTTTAGCCAGCGGTGAGACTTGAGTGGCATTTTGTTGAGGCGCACGCTGTCAGCTGTTTTCTCATCCTAGCCTTGCTTTTCTTCTGCTTTTTCCCAGCCTTAGTTTTGTTTGTCTTCTTTTTCTTGTTTTCGTCTTTGTACCAGGGACCCCAGACTCCTCCGTTGAGCCGAGGGTTGCTTCTGGGATCCTTTGGGGGGTACCTGACGGGCACTGCTGTCTTGTTGAACTGGGAGAGCCTCCGCAGCAGCTTCTTCACGATGCCTGGGTACCTGCTGGAGAGGTCCACCCTCTCGTACGGATCAGCCGTGATGTTGAAGAGCCAGATACTCTTGCCAGTGGACAAGGTAATCCTCTCGTTGTGCCACCGGTTTGGGCCCAGATTGCTGAAAGCCTGAGGGGGGACCCAGTCACTGTAGCCCGGATTTCCTGTAAGGAGCTTCCAGTGCTGCACCCGGATGGCCGACTGGATTGCAGTATTCCAGATTCCGTAGCCTGCTGCCCAGGAGCCGTTTTTAGCCTTGGTGTAAATGGGGTCGATGTTGTGCAAAATATCCACTCGGGGTGAACGGAGACCTTCGCTTATGGTCTCCCAGATATCGTACCCATCGAGCTGAATGTCTTCATCAATCTGTCCTTCCGCCAGTGAAATCAAGGTGGGATACCAATCGGTGATGTGCACGAGTTCCTTACACACCGTTCCTTTGTTTTTCAGGAGTGGGCTGTGCACAAAGCCAACTGCCCGGATGCCCCCTTCCCAATATGTTCCCTTGCTACCTCTGAGAGGCCAGTTGCTTCCTCCTGCTGTGGGCTGCCCGCCATTATCTGAGGAGTAGATGATGATACTGTTGTTATAGAAACCATACCTCTTGAGAGCCAGGGTCACATTGTGGATTGCTTCATCCAAGCAGGAGAGCATGGCTGCGTACCTCCTTCTGTTGATGTTGATAATGGATCGGTAGTGTTCGAAATACCTGCCAGGGGCTTGCAGCGGGGAATGCACAGCTTGGTAAGCAATATAAAGAAATATAGGTTTTGTGGGGTTATGGGAAGCTAAGAGCCGCTGCACTCTCTGAGTATACATCTGGGTGGAATAGATGCCGTTGTCATGGTTCCAAGCAGCGTTGTCGTTTTCATACAGGTCATAGCCGCACATCCCGGGGCTGTCACATTTGTAGTGGGTATAATAATCGCCACTCCCCAAAAGGGAGCCAAAAAAGGTATCAAATCCTCTCTTGGTGGGCATGCATTCTTTTCTGTAAAATCCCAAGTGCCATTTCCCAACCATGTGGGTTGAATAGCCGACCTCTCTCAGCTTCTGAGGTAGGGTTGCGTTGTCCAGAGGTAGACAGTTGGGTTGGGTAGGTCTGATGATAGAATGTTGAAGTCCCGTGTGTATCTGATACCTTTGAGGAAAGAGTAAACATCTTGTCAAGGCAGGATAGAAGGCACATTCTTCATTCAGGTAATTCTTAAGTTAAGTAAAGTCTCTGTGAACAAACATCAGCTCAACGCCAAATTAAGTAATATCCACTGAGCAGCTCTACTTTCCATTCCAGAGTTTTAATTGGCTTCACATTTAACAGTTGAATAGCATTTTCAGTACTTTGGAAACTAAGATTTTTACCCCTCATCTCAAAGTCTTTTAAAAAGTTCTTACAACAGAATTAATTAAAATAAAATTTGGTCTTTTATTTACATGACAAAGTGCTAGCACAATAGAGAGGGATGCTCAGGATTAGACTATTATGGACCTCATAGTAGCTTCTCAAGCATGCCCTGAGGTCAGTATCTCAAACTAACTCCCGTGTTCTAGAACACAGGTGGATGATGCAGAAATCTCCAGGTAGCTTCTCAAACAGTATCTCACAATTCACCCCCATCTCATTGGATCTCTGAAAAAGAAAGTGGCTCCTGGCTGCAGAAGCAAAGCTCAGAGTTTGTGCCAGTGCAGGAAGGAGATGAGTCTTCCAGTTCCACGGGAGATAAGCACGCTTTTGTTTGCCACTGTCTCCGGCTCTCCATTAATAAATCACTTAGATGTCTAGGAAAGCAGCGGAACCTTTCTATAGTGTATTAAAATGACAAGGAAGCTCGTTTCTAGACAGTTTTCCAAGGGTCCACCCAGAACCAGTTACTATCATAAGGGTCCACTTGTATCTGTTAATTTATGATACTTTAACCCAGAATTGACTGAAGTTATTGCATATGCTCAAAATAACTTTTAAAATAGGACACATACACAAAGGCTATAAATATTTAGGGAAAATATAAAGGTATTCATGGAATCGAATAAATTGCAAAGAAGAAAACTCAGAGAGAGAACCCAAACTTGGGCAGGGGAGTCTCAGAGCCCACATAGGAAAAGCTGAGCATGGTGGCCTGTGTCTGTAACCTGACCTTGGGGGTGACAGGCAGATCCCTGGTGCTAGCTGGCCAGAAGTCTAGCTGAGTCACCAAACTCCACAAATATGTATATACATAGATCTCACAGAACACAACACACACACACACACACACACACAACACACACAACCACACCCCAAATGGATGTATTCGGAAATGTCATATGTCCTTTGGTTGAACAGTCTGATTTGTGATTAACTGTTGCAAGTGTGATTTCTTGAGTGGTAAGTGGATCCGCATACTGATGCGGAAGTAGGAACTATGAAGACAACATCCTATTCTGCAAAGTGGCATTTGCATCTGCCTGTCACTTCATTTATCATTAGCAGTCAGCATTTCACAGCAATCACAGCCATGGGAACTTAAAATAAACTCCTATAGACATTTTACAAGTGTCACTAAACACCAAATTCAGATGCCATCACTGTTCATGACAATTTTGGTCTAGTATCAGATCCATAACAACCACGGATCAGATCACTAGCTTTCTACATGGAAAACTGGTAAGTGCCTACCAAGGTAAATTAAGAAAGAAATGAAGGAGGAGAGTCTGTATTTGTAAAAGTTTTAGCAATCATTAGAGGGGCTAAATTATTAATTAAATAATTATCATACATAGACCATGTCCTTGACCTGAAAGCCTACTTAATTTCTCAAAAGGCAAAAAATTTAAGCCTTTGTAATTAAATTGGTTATTTATCATCTAGTGGTGGAATAGAAAGGAAATGATGCTTCTGAAAATATAAGCAATGCTTGGAGAGGGAGGAGGGGAGGGAAGGAAAGAAGAGGGAGTAGAAAGGACAAGAGAGGAGGGGAGAAGAGAGAAGAGAGGAAGGGAGGAGAGAGGAGAAGAGAGAGGAGACAAAACTGTTTTCAGAAGATGGGGAGTTGTTGGCAGACAAATGAGAGTCTAGAGTCACTAGTGAACTAAGAGGTTTCTGCTTCTCCAGAAGGCAGAATGGTTTCAACAAAGGCTTGCTAACAGCTCATAACAAATGAGAGATTCTTCAGGTCACTTTCTCCATTAGTAGTTCTGAGGCTCAGGCTACACAGAGGAGTTTGGAGCAGAATGTGGGCACTGATTAAGGGGACAGGTGTTGGAATCTGACATACCTGAGTTTGGATTTCCACAGTTACTTTTAACATTGGGGTAGCATTTAACGCTCTGATCTCCATCAAGGAAATTGGGGTTATGATATATGTTGAGATATCTTGGGCCCCAGAAAGGAGCACAGAATCTAAGTTGGGGAAAACAGTTAGTAAATGGTAGCCACTGTGACAAACTAGACGGGCAGAGTGGTGTGTAATGACATATTTTAAGAAAGTTTTTTATAGTTTGTAGCTTTCCTTTTGTATATATAATTGCACTGAATCCTCAGTACTGTAGTGAAAAGTCACCCTGGTCTTCATTTAATGGCTGTGAAAGCAGAGGGGTAGAGAGTTGTGTTATTTATTTATTTATTATGAACTGCCTAAAATGCCCACTAGGTTGTGACACTGATTTTGAAATAGTGCGGCTATGTCTGTTACTTACTCAGTTTTTAAACTATTAGCTGCTGTGACTACTTCTGAAAACATCCAGAAACAGTCAAAAATGAAAGATTTGCAACCCAGATAGTGTGGCTTATATCGATCACAGAAATGTTTAAGATTTTTTTTTTTTTGCAAGAGGTAAAGTAATGAGCATTTAAAAAAATATTTTTTAGCAGAATCCATTGGACAAAGGCAAAAAGAAAGTCCTGCCATGTTAGTGACCCCCATCTTCACCCCTGTACTTGACTCCTTCCCTTCCTAAAGCGTTGCTGTTATTTCCTAATCATAGTCAGGATAGCACTTACAGTGGACACAACTTAAAGGTTCAAGCTCTTTTGTCCTAAGGTAGGGTAGAGTTGGAGCCAGTGACTGCCAATCATGTGGAAAGCAGGCTGCTGCATCTCTTTGTTAACCTCTGCCATTGAGAATGCTGGTAGATTGCTTTAGTTCAGTAAGAAAGGGATGAGATCTGATATGAGCTTGCCTGGGTGTTTGGGGTGAGCCTGGCTTTCACATAAGAGCAACAACTGTCCAGAAGATAAACCAGGTAACTTCAAAATATAGCACCAAATCCTGAGTGGACAAAAGTTGCTTCCTTCCTTCCTTCCTTCCTTCCTTCCTTCCTTCCTTCCTTCCTTCCTTCCTTCCTTCCTTCCTTCCTTTCTTTCCTCTCTCTCTCTCTTTCTCTCTCTCTCTCTTTCTTTGATCTCAACTTATTGAGGGAAGAGCCTAAAGGACACACAATTAATTAAGAGATCAAAGTTAATGGGAGTGGTAACGTGATAAACTGGAATTGTGTAGAATGGTACTGAAGGAAAGAGGAAGCTCTGGGGAGATAAAACATAGTCTCTATGGCATTCCCATCAACGATATGGAGCCTGAACTTAATACAAAAGTATGTCGTTCAAAGAAGGGGTGCTTCAAGTTTGAAAGGAATTAAGAGGGGAGGGAATGAGGATCAGATGAAACACACGATCCTGAACTACAGTGCTCACAATTAGAGAGATAAAGAGCTAAAGTGAGTCTAAGGAGTAATTGAGAAGAACTATGATGCTTTTTTAATTTGATGAATGTTTGTGTCTAACACAGAAGAGAAGTCCCCATGTCAGGCGGTAGTGCAATAACGGGGTTGGTGGATTGTAGGATAAAAGTATAAAAGACGGTGAATCCCCAGCCAGCAATTGCCTTTTAAAGTAATTCAAGAAAAGTGTTTCAGGGTATCCCTGCAATTTTTCCATAAATAGGAGATGGGCTCAAGTATAGTATATATAATCAGTAATTATGATAAGTAAAAATCCTTTCTTTAAAAGTTCAATTAGTTTAATGACTCTAAATGAATCCAAGGAATCAGATAGATCCCTTTGACTGTAAATTCAATAAACAAAAATATAAAATGTAATAATGAAAAAGTACTAAAGTACTAATAAGAAAAGACATTACATTAAGGCAACAGGCAAATTCTGAGAAATAACTCCACTCTATGTTAATCAGAACATAAACAGAAAACTGCTCACTATTGAAACATAGGCCTCAGTTTATGTAAATGCACCTACATTTTCTTGTTGAGGGCCATGCAGGAGGAACAGCAAACCAGCTTTAGAGTCTTGGAATTTGGCCCTCCAGTTAGCACAACCATGATGCAGTGCCTTGGGAGGCAGAGCCCCGAGGACTCTGTGTCCTTAGGACTCTGCTGTTATGGTGGATCACTGAGCTTGTTGCCTTTGCGATCACTGCATCCCTCATAATACATTATCTATATGAAAACTCTAAGGAGGCTTCCAGTCCATCACTGGACAGCATCATTGGTACTTGCAATACTAATGCTTGATCTTTTTCAGTCATTGCTGCTGGTGCAGATTAATGATTCAACCACCACCCTTGGAAAGAACTTAGAGATGTAGATTGTTAGCAATGGCCTCAGAAAGAATTTGGAAGAATAGATTATTTAGTAAGGTTAGGTTAAGATGTTGTTGTTAGTGGCCCCCGAAGTAGAAAATCTTACGGAACAATTTGAAGTCCCGAAGAGTAGACTCTCAACAGTTGGGATGGGACTTTTTACATTTAGGGAGTAAGAACAATACCCCAATCAGCAATGGCTGATGTGACTCTCAATGGAGCTGGGCTGGTGATTAAAGTGATAATTAGTTTCCTGTACCCATTTTTTCCCTCAGCTTCCTGATATGATTTTAATAAAAATTGTCAACTAATAGGTGTGTACCTTGAGGATTTAAAGTAGAAATGACGATTGTTTTTATTCAAATATGAAAGTTTAGATTTGTGATTCTTTTAAGATTTTCATATTACTTTTTAAGATAATTGATTCTCTCTTTGTAACTGCAAACTGCAGCCTGCCAGTAAAGAGAAATTGGCTGAGAAAATTACCTTCCTTGCTTGAACTTTGTTAATATATAACAAGTTGCTTAGTTACCAATGTACGTAGGTTCTTGGGAATAATTTGTTTTCCACA